TTTTCAAATTCATTTTCAACCACACGTTATTTCCATAAAATAATTTGCACATAAATCTAAAACTATTTCTTACTTTTCAACCACACATTTTTCAAAAAAATCACTATTACAAAATTCATTTTTATATTTATAAAATAAAATAAAAATGCGGTATGGGAACCCAACCACTCGATTAAGCAGGGGATTTCCATCACGTTGTCATCCCTAAGTTCAATTCTAACTACGCACTTGATTTTTCATAATATTCCATAATTAATCTTTTATAATATCAATACTAAACCTTTCATTCAATTAGTATGTATTGAAAAATAATTAATACATTTTTCTGCTCAAAAAGACAACATGAAAATGAAAAAAAAAAAATTTAAACTCTTCGAGTTTTTTCTTTTTTTACGTATGAAATCAGTTGATTCTAATTCAGTTCGTTTAATTAATTTCATCCAAATATTTTTTCTTAATTCAAATTACGCAAACAATATTTTTACTGAAACTATTATAAAAATAAAATGAGTTAATTAATTGCAGGTTAAAATAAGAATTAAATGAAAAAAAAAAAGTATTAAAATGCACAAAGGTTTAAGAGCTTGTTTGGGAAGGATTAAAATTGGATTAAAATTGAAAAATTAGTCGTTATTGTTGACTTTTATTAGATGAGTGAGACCCAATAACAACTATATTTTCAATTTTAATTGGATTAAAATCATTTGCAAACAAGCCCTAACATTCAAGTGCAATTACCAGGGATTCTCTGATGGCTGAAAGCCTGAAACCCTAAATCCTCATTGCCTTTCAACACACGCAATTGGCTTTCTCATCTAATTCTCATTCTCATCCAAATCATTCACCCTTAGGCGATTTTTTATTTTATTTTTAAGAAAAATTGAAAAGAAATGATTTCCAAGATCAGCGCGGGACAGTTGCCAATCCGCCCCTGCTCTTAAATATAGGTAAACAAATGTAAATCATATTGGTCTCTCGTTTAATAGTTAGTTGCTTACAATCTTTGAATTGGGTCTATTGTTTCTGATATGGGCTCTAGTTCTTCTATTGTTTTTGAAAAATTTAAACTCCACGGTTTATTGGATAGTTATTTTTATGCCTCCACCTCCACCTCCACCTCCACCTCCGCTTGTTTATTGTTTTTTCCCCGAATTCCTAAATGTTGAGGTGAAGTAAAATGTCCAATTTGAATGTTTGTTTGCATTAGAATATATCAATTTGGATCCATAAGAGCTTCTCCAATGGTTTACACCAAATTGGTGCAACTTTCACGCCAATTTGAGGAGTCATCTCCGATGGTTACAAAAAATATTACGCTTATTATTTATTTCTCAACAATTAATTAATTTCAAAAATTATGTAATTACAAATTATATTATTACTAAAATTATTAAATTACAAATTATATCCGGAAATGATCTTCCGGAGTACTAAATTACTGTTTTAGTTCAAATGTTGTATTTTACTTTAAATTTTATTTTTTAGATATTTATGTTGTTCTAGTGTTAATTTCTTCTTAATTTCTAATTATTAAATTTGTAACTTTTGAGTTTTAATGAGTAATTTTATTGTAATGTATTCAATAGTTATTATTTATTATTTAATTTAAATCATTAAATAATAAAAAAGATATAATAGGAATTAAAATTTGTTGTCATATAAAATGAAAGGCAAAAGTGGAATAATGAAAAACTTCAAAAATTACACCAAATTTGGTGTAACATTATTCGTTACACTAAATTGGTGTTATAGCGTACCACTGGAGAGGATTTTTACACCAAATTGGTGTTTTTATACCAATTTTGGTTTACAATTGGAGATGCCTTAACCGTTGAGGTAAACTTTATCTTTCGGCCTCTCTTAGAATTGGACGTTTGTTGCATTACCTTCTCTTCCTTACTTTTCAAGAAATATTTATCACTCTATGTAATTGACTTTCATGTAGTTGACTTCAGCTTAGCATACTGTTCTTGCCAAAAAAAGGTTGTCCGTTTAACTATATTTTATGAATTTAATAATTTAGATGCAAAAGTTATTAAAACGTGTCTCAGTGTCTCTAGACCTTTGATATTGTACAGCTATAGCTATATACACAATATTTTTATTTTTATTTTTAAACTGGAAGTCCATAAAAGTCTTTTCAAAAAGTCCATGAAAGTTTTTGAAAGTCTATGAAAATCTGTAAAATGTATAAAAGTTCGTAGAAGTTCATGAAGTCTGCAAAAGTCAATCACTTATAATAAGTCTACAAAAATCTTTAAAAGTAAGTTAAATATAAAATTTCTAAAATTCAAACCCTCAATCTCTCCCTCCATGAAATCCAGTCTATTCTCGATCTGGTATTAGTATTGCAGTTTCCTATACTTTATGTTTTCAGTAATAGGGTTTTAGATTGAGCCCTTGCTTATTTTTAAAAGTAACTCGAGTTGCTTATCCTTTGATGATTAATTGCTGTTTCATTTTTGATTTTCTGAAAATTCACTTATTCTGTTGTCAACGTTGGGCAATGAATTCTTAAATGTGAAGGAAATAAATATATGCTCAATGTAATTTGTGTACTGCTCAAATTATATCAATCTGGCCGTCTGTTGAATTAAAAAAGATCTTTTTCACTGATATTAAAAGGTTTTGTAGTTGAATCAGATTCAAATTTCCGTTCATCCTGATCACAAGAACAGAAGTCAGATTGGTTGCCGTTATCTTTTGGTTCATCAGCTTTTAACGGTCAAGCTCTTGAGAATCTTGTGTGCTTACTTTGGGCTTTTCAAGTATTTGAGAGGTAAAATGCTAGTCTTTTTGCTTCATATGTGGAGAAGGATGGAGCTAAAAGCAAGAATGATAATTTGTATTTTGTAGTAAATATTGCTGTTCACGTTTGCTTTTCTTCTTCTTAATATGATCATATGTAGATATCTTGGTTTGTTGTGGTTAATTCTTGTTTTTCCATGTTGGTTGGTTAGTTCTATTAGTTGGGAGTATGTGAAAAATTCCTCTTAAAAGTTTATTATTGCCTAATTCGTGTTGTGAGTAGACCTTGTTATCAGAATTCTAAAGATTCAGATATGGTGAAGAGTAAAATTCAACTCTTTCCATTTGCAATAGTTTTTTTATTTTGTAATAGTAAAACTATTCTTCAACCTAATTAGCTAATATCCCCATAATCTCTTCTACCTTTAATTTGGTTATATGTTTGTTTTAAACCAGAACTAGGCTCCATGTGGATTGCAGTTACTTTAAGTGCATGTTTGGCAAAGCTTAGCTTATATTTAAGCTAGTCAAACATCATTTTTAACCTCACATTCTATTTAACCCGCAACTTTTATCCACTTTTAACCACACATTCCATTGGACCACCCACTGCTTATAATCTACAAAAATCTATACCAAATACACTAAGATTCAAGAACCAAAATGTTGGTCATCTGCATCTTTGTAGAAAAGGTAGAACTAAATGTATTGGGGTTTTGAATTGAACATACAGCAGAGATATGCCTAAGTACAGAGACGAGCATCCTGCAGTTTGTGCATACACAGTTTGCGAAGAATCCAAGTTTGTATCCGTTTCTCTTGTCAATTTATTACATGTAATAAGAAAGCAAAAATCAATTCTGGGCTTATAGTTTTGCAAATGAATTATTAAGTTCCGTCGAATAATTCCATGCAGATACTTGATTGTGAGGAACGTTCCTTCATTGGGTTGTGGTGATGAGCTATTAAAATTGTTCTCTACTTATGGACAAGTTGAAGAGTAAGCTCCCAACCTGCACTTGTATGTTTACAATCAATATTTATGTATATGTATATTATTTGTTTGTACCTGAACACACAGATTTCTAAAAGATGAAATTTTATCTCCTTTTATATCTATTCTTAAATGGGTCTTCTGTCAATTTATATTCAGACTGTAATAGCTAAAATTTGATTATTTTGAACTTTGTCTATTTCGATTTTATGGTTTATTTTCAATTCTTTTTCCCTTTTGGGGTGGGGGAGGATTTCTATACTGTGTAAAATAAAATTTTATTGTGTTTTTGGAAAGTGCTGTTCAGATGTAAACCAATGGATGCGGAAGACTGTGAGCCATACACTGATGTTTACTGGATCAAGTTTTGTCAGATGGACAATGCCAGGTGATTGTAGCTGTTCAGTAATGTTTTCATTTTCATTTCTACGCTAGTTGAAAAGTTCCCTGTTACTTGGTTGTTTTGAGATGTCTTTACGTATTTCTCAATGTGGATTCGTTTGTTCTTTAATGCATATTTATATCGAGCCGTAAGTGTATCGATGTCTAAACATAATTATAGGTTTGCCAAGAGGAAACTGGATGGATTTGTTTTCCTAGGGAATCGGATACAAGTATCATATGCACCTCAATACGAGATCCTGTCTGACGCAAAGGAGAAGTTGGAAGGGAGGAGAAAGGAAGTTCTAGCACGATTGAACCGTATGTCTGATGTGCAGTAGTTTATATCTCCCTGAAGATATTCCTTTATAATTTGTAAAATGAAATGTTCTTCTGACTAATCAACAGCTAAAAGATCCCAAGGGTCTTCAGTTTCCAGGGCACGTGTTGTTAGTGAGCCTTCATCTGCCCAAACTTCTGAATTCATTCAAAGGTAGTTTTTTATTTGTGTTACCATAAAACATCTGGGGAAATTCATTTCAGATTACCAGGGATGTGTTCTTATGTTGTAGGGAGTTTGGGGTGTTACAGAACAGTACTCGTGATGGAGATTCAGCTCCCACGTCTTTGGTTTCTTCTGACAAGGTAAATTTATGGATGAAATTTTGCCTTTATTTCAATATAATGCGATGCATGAGCTTTATTTCAGCAGTTAGCCATAGCTGCAAGAATGATGAATTTATATCATGCAACTGCACCATAGTGTGATTGGTTTATTTTATTCTTGATTTCAAGCAATGATAGTGCATTGTAGTGTCTCTGAACCAATTACTTTAGACGCCACCCAACCAAAAAAAAAAATGAAAATGAAAATGACCGAATAAGTGGAAAGAAATAGCAATAAAGAATGGCCCCCAATTCATCCGAGTTACGTTTGGTTATGTGGTTTATACTCTGAAGGCATCTCTCAAGAGTTTTAAGATTTATTCTATCACAGTACAACAATGAATTTGCTTTTGATTTCTCTCCCTTCTACTGACTCAAGGTAATCTTTTGTCAGTCAGAAATATGATCCTTGCTTTCCTTTCAATATCAGGAATATTTCTCATCACAATCCATGAATCGAACGGTTGAATTCATCAGGGAGAAGTTGAATGAGGTAATAATCAATTGTGTTGTAACTTCCAAGTATCTCAGCTTTATATCAATTTCAGTCATTCTCCATTGTCGTAGATACAATCAAGCGTTGAGCACGTACAAGCTAGTTCTGCAAAGAGAACACGAGTAGATAATAGAAGAAGAATCTAGTGGGTTTTCGAGAAATGAAGATCTTGAGCGACCGATCCAACAGAACAACTCAAAACATATAGAAGTATCATCAATTTCTTCATGCTCATTTCAAGTTCGAAGTACCATTTGGACAAATAAGAATTCCCTTCGTTACATGATCTTTTCTTCATATAGATAGATATAAGATCTATG